ACACACTCACACAGATACAAGACGCTTGGACGAATTCTAACAACAACAATGATTCTGCGTTTGATTCTTTGGAAGTAGCAATGTGTGGAAGCCTGAACGCTCTATCTGAGGAAGTGAGACCTCAAAGTGTGGGTGTCAGTGTTAGAGACTCTGTTTCTAACATTCCTCTTGAGGAGATGCCACCTCAGGTGTCTGACACAAATCCAGGTAAAGGGGAACAAAAAGACAGCTCTGTAAATCAAGCTTCAAAAACAAGACAGAAACCAGAGGAAGGTGCCTGTAGCATCTCAGTTTCATCAGTTGAAACTCATGTGAAAGAGGCTGTAACAAATCGGCATCTCAGTGTACCAGATAAAGCCAGGTCAAGAAGTCTCACTAGTCCAGAGGTTCAGAACATCAATCCGGAGAGTGATACAGCATTTTTTTTGCCACGTGGATCATTTGGTTCCTTCACTCCTAAATGCAAATCCAATGATCCCAGACCATGTAAAATGTGTCAAGAAAAGGTGGAAACTACAGGTTCTCAGCCAGGACCACAGATGGTGAAGCCTCAGACTGAAGGCCAAAGAAAAGATGATGTCAGTCCTGTCACAGACAGACTTGTTGATGAACCAAAGACTAAAGATGCCTTTACAGGACAGCAATGTGTTGTTAGTAACTCAGGGGACGAGGAAGAAAAAGCAAAGGAGAAAGCAAAAAAGAGAGGTGAGGAGAAAGACCAAAAGAACAAAAAGGAAAGTAAAACCTTTCCCACACAGGATTGCCCAGAGCACCTTTCGTGTCACACCCCTAAAGGGGAACTTTGCACAGATAAACCAATCACTGCTAAGAAAGGGAGGAGAGGGAAGCAGAACAAAAACAAGGTATCCATGCCAAGCAGTCATGCTGACTTTAGCCCTGAATCTTTCGATGATCCAAAGAAAACTTATGTTCCATTAAATGCCACAGCAGATGGATGGTTAAAGGGGGAAGCGGACAATTCGAAAACTAAAAAGGGCCGAAAGGCAAACAGAAAATCTTCACCGTCGGACTTTCAACAAAGGACATCTGGGACTGAGAAAGCTACATTTGGTCCACAGATGCAGATGGATAACAGTCCAAGTCCTGATATCAGAAGTCCTATCGATGGACACTGCAATCCTAGCACACATACCCCAGACAACCTCAATGTTGTGTTGGCAATGAACCAAGAACTAGAGCAGGAACAGGAAGTGCTTGATAATAGACCACTATCTGATCGTCAGAGAGGATTCACAGTAGATATTAATGACAACAACATAGATTCTGGCCATAGCCTACCTGCTCATGATACCTTATCATACTCTCTGACTCCACTGTCTTCCTCCCCATCTCCTGTTTCCTCTTCCTCCCCTCTACCATGTGCCTCAGCAGAGCCAGAAGATGATCTTCCCACACCTGTTCAGGAATCCCAACCTGTCCTATCAGCCCTGCATCAGCCTTCCCTGTCAAAATGTCACACCACCCCTACACTTTGCTGTACCTCAACCAAAACACAACAAGCCCCTGACCCCCAATTTCTCCCTAACAACAACAACAACCTCAAAGAGGCCACTGTTGTCTTTTCTGCATCAACTACATCTAGCACAAGTGTCTCTCCGCCATCATTCTCCACTGCCATGCTGTCAAGCCTGTCCCAGCCTACCCAGGAGTCATTTTTACCTGCTCCTGAGACTCTAGATTCAGCATGCGTGGCAGATTCGATTTCTCGTCCCCAGTCTCAGAACAATCTCAACATCCAGCCACACAAACAAATCAAGCAAGGTTGCCCGTGGAGCACACAAGACAGATTCAGAGGTGAGTATAGAAATTAACGCTTGTTTGATTGAAAGCACCTTGCACTACACACTGAGGAATCCTTCATCATTTTTGTAACAGTCAGTTTGGTAAACAGTAAAAGTTGGGATTTTTAAAACAATAAAATGAATCACAAATGCTTTATTCGTCTCACAGCAGGCAAATGTACAGTGCAGATAAAAGGCAAAAGCATAGACTAACATATTAGATAAAAAGGCAAGCACACGCTTATAAGAATCTATGTAAACAAGTCAAATGCAAGGTTCGTAATACAAATCTGATCAAGTATTGTTGTGCTCTGTAAGGTCCCAGCTTGGCCGAGGGGGAGACAGACAGTGAGGATGATTGTGGATTGCCTCGACGTGGTCACAGATCCCAGGCCAGAGGAGTGGCAGGAAACAGAAATGAGGCCATGTGGAGAGAGTCTGGTCCATCCAATCAGAGGGAAATGCAGCCTTTCTCTGCCCACCAGATGTCCAACAGACAGTCAGGCTGTCCAATCAACCACAGCCACACGATTGCAGAAGAGTTCGACCTATCCTTCAAAAACAATTGTGAGTTTCTTCTGACGTCCTAAGGGAAATAAGGTTCAACACTAGGAATCCTCTTTAACACTTCACCAATTATTCTGTCACTTTATATATCTCTCATCTATTTCTACACTAGGTGATCCACAGTGTTCTATGTTACATATTAAAGGTGTTTGAATATCATTTGGTTAAATTGTACAGAATAGCTATAGTTTTGCTTTGATGACGGATGATAACACAAGAGATGTACATTTTCTGCATCATAGTTCACTGAAATAAAATTACATACTATGCAGATACGATATAATGTATTTTCCATGGGATAATTACATTTCCTGATGTTGATTAGATGAGTTTATGAATTTCTGTAATGAACACTCTTCATCAGCAAAGCATTAATGAGATAGAGTCTCTAATGCCCTCATTACTCCTACAATGATCATTAGTTTCCATGGCATAAGGATATAATTCACTTTATTTAAATGTACTTGAATTATTTTTAAATAAATGCCTTTCTGCAGGCTCTATATTGGCTTCCTGTAATGAGTCCGAGAGTGAGGGGTCAGTGCCTGAGCTGGAGGAGCCGGAGCCTCTGAGACCATCAGAGCCCCAGGTGAGACAGTTCATGCTGAAATCATCTTATTTTTTACTGAACCCATTACGCCAGATCATTTATTTTTTAAACCCTATTTGTCAAAGGTATGGCATGCAAAGGAGAGAAAATTATTATAACTCATCACTAAAATCTTTGATATTTTATTCAATACTAAATTAGGATTGCATTTAGATTATGTTGAAAAAAAGGCTTAGGGTTAGCCCTAAATCAAATTAGTTTTTTCAAGATCTCAACATCATTATTTTATAATCAGGAGGCAACTGTTGCTTAGACTTACAGACTAAAACCTATGAACTGTGTAATGTGGAGAAGATCTTGACATCATAATCAAGTATTGAAGCTGAGAAAAATATGATACAAAATGTGGCCTTCTGTATTCAGGGAATCATTGTGTATAAGCATATGTTTGCATTACCCAGAGATAGCCTGCCTTTGGCCAGATTGCTTTTTAAGTTCAGTTGATTAAATTGAAAATGCCTTCTTCCTTTATCGATATGGCACATTTTGGCTCTTATATATATGTATTTTTTTGTACTTGAATCAAATTGCTGTCACTGCTGTTATAACACATATAATGCATAGCTTCCTGTGTGTGCAAGAGAATACAAAACTGTATGGCATCAGCAAAATAGCAGTAGAAACCTAAAAATAAGACGAGTCAAATGTGATGATATTAGCAATACTAATGTATGAAAATGTTATAGAATATAAAAATATAGTAATAGATATTTGCTTTTTCTTTCAGTCTATTTCCTATGCAGATGAAGGGCTAAACCGGCCAAAGCAGAGCCGCAGTGAGAAGAAGGCCCGCAAGGTTGGATTCCTTACTGTATAAAAATAAACAAATCAAGATGGAGTCTATATGACACCAGTGTTAAATGTATGTAATTGTGTCCTTCTTGCTCCCTCTCTATGCTGCTGTGTTTGTATGAAGGCTATGTCTAAACTTGGTCTGAAGCCGGTCCATGGTGTGACCAGGATCACCATTAGGAAGTCCAAGAGTATCTTGTTTGTCATCACCAAACCAGATGTGTTCAAAAGCCCCGCATCTGACATCTACATTGTGTTTGGAGAGGCAAAGGTTGGTCTTTCTTAAATTGGTCTTATTCAAGCTTTGGTACATGTATTGGTTTGCCTCTCAACCTCTCCAATCCTCTCCTCAGATTGAGGACCTATCTCAGCAGGCTCACAAGGCAGCTGCAGAGAAATTCAAGGTGCCTGTGACCTCTTCTCCCTTGGCCCCACCTGTCCCTCCCAGCCTCACCATCAAAGAGGAGAGCGAAGAAGAGGAAGAAGAGGTACTTTCTGTCCAATCTCTTAAAAGTGTTCACACTATTAACTCTGTACACTATTTTATTTAGTTGTTAACTTTATCTCTCCATCTATCCCTCCCTATCTATATTTTTCCCCCTACATCAGGTGGATGATGGTGGTCTCGAGCAGAGGGATATCGAGCTGGTCATGGCTCAGGCCAATGTGTCACGCGCCAAGGCCGTCCGTGCACTGAAACACAACAATAATGACATTGTGAATGCTATCATGGTGAGGAGGAAGGAGAAGGAGATAGAGGGAGTGAGAGAGGGAAGATTTAGAGGATAGAGGGAGGGCAGACGGTGAACAACATAATGAGTCATAGCCAGTGCATGGAGGAGGAGGGGTGGAGGACAGGAGAGCAGGGGACAAATGACAAGAATTGTTTCTCCCCAGTAACTGAGCATCCTCCACAGTTCTGTAGGTAACCGGTGCAGTATCATGTCCACTAGGTGGCAGCATTTACTCACACTGAAATGACTGAGCTGTTGAAGTGACGCAGTAAAAAATGGTTCATGATGGGGCAAGAAGCAAGATAGAGCTGCATTAGTTCACTATAAAAAGTTGATGAAGGGTGAAAACAGAGCCTATCATTCTGACTTTCCCAGGTAATTGTATTTATTCAAGCAGAGTGACATGTAGAGTGTCTTATCTCTTCTTTTCAGTAGCAGAGAATAGACAAAGAAATAAAGAGAAATAACTATAATTTAAGAAAGAAAAATCAGTTGCACGTTTTGTTTCCAACGTAACCTTTTTATTCATGATAGTTTTTCTCCAACCACCTCATTCTCTATCTTTCTCTCCTTTTTCCATGCAGGAGCTGACCATGTGAGTGGTGAGAACGATTTTACTCCTGACCCCCCTCCTCCAGCCTATAAAGCCTAAACGCCACTGACTCTTCTGTATCGCTGCTACTGTATGTTGCATCCCCAATATCTGCTAAATAAAGTCGGTTCCAATGTGGGCTCTTGACTGCATTGCAATATTAATTTCACTGAAGGGGTAACAGTGTTATGTTTTGTTGAAACTTGTTTTGTTGAAACTTGTTTTTACAAACGGAGCAGTAAAGCCTTTCATATTCTTCAAATTCAAAAGGCATAGGATTAAAACTACCAGCATTTTCAGTATTAGCACCTATACATCTGTACAAAAAATAGTTGACATATCATACATAAAACCATCAGTTGTTTAAAATGTTTCGATCTGAACAATGACACACGGGATTCAAATGAAAAAAAAAAAAGCAACCTTAATCACAGAATTGGAACCTGCTCAATCAAACTTAGTGACAATATAGGTAAAAATGTAAATGTAATTCATCTTAATTGACTAATAACGTATTTAGTTTTATGCTCATATTTATGCTAATGTTAAGGGTTAACAGGACTGTGTTTTCCTAAAATATGAGAAATTGAAAACACATAGAAGGCTTATTTTCTATCTTTTTCTCAAACTCTTCACGTGAAAAAAGGTTGGGTTGCTATTTCATTATGCCAAGGGTCAGGCAATAAGCAAGGAAAACAAGATTTCTAGTAATTGCTTTTTAAAGGAAAATGTGCTACTGATATAAAAAAAATACTGCACTGCTAATTCTTTTTGGGATTATGCAAATCTCACAATGATTCAGACCTTTAATATAAACCTTGAAAACATTAATTCATTAATATGTATACAACTGCTTACATTTACTAAAACGTTTCTATATTTATCATATTACACAGAGTTAACATTAACCAGCACTGTGCCAGACGGAGATCTCACCTTTGGTTCTGTTTTTCTATCTCGTATAATGTCACACAGTACGGATGACACAAGAGTTCCCAGAGAGATGCTAAATGCATTTCTGACAGTTTATCAACTGTATTTTACAAAACTGGTTCTAGTACAAAACAAATGTCCCCAGGACTGCTTTGATAAGTAATGGCCATGAGAAAAACTCGTACCAAGCATGTTGAGTCATGATGTTAAATTACAAGCAATGACACCACAAGTAAATTAAAAAAACATGTCCATTCAACTTGGTTTCCATTCTAACTCCAATGCAGATGTGAGGCTATAATGTTTATCAGTGTGTGAAATGTTGGCATTAGTGAATGAAATACTTTCACAGGCAATGTTATTGAAATATAAACTGTCCACATAGTCACTTGAAATGTTTTGTTAGCAAAGCCAAACAGTAGTGGTTCGTTCATTCTAAACACTATCATAGAGGTCTCTTTCCAAATCATAAAAGTCAAAGCTATTTTCATCTTTTAAATTCCACATTATGTTGGTATGGATCTCTACTAGGCAATAAGTGGTGCTCTCCTGAGTGTCCTTCAGTGCAGGCACTTCAGATTCTTCTGGAAAAAGGAATAAATGCCTTTGGGCTTGAGTCCACTTTTGGGGCTAGACATCATTAGGTGGTAGATTGAGCAGGGAGGACGTTGTTCTCAAAGTGTCCCTGGTTAGTGATGTTCCCAGCGGGGAAGTATCTGGCCACCACAAAGGAAGAGCCGTCTGATGCAGTGGCCTTACCGACTCCCAGCTTATTACTGCTCTTCCACACCATTGCTGTGAAATGGCCTAGAATAAGACATAGAAAGACATTAAAGGCAGCAAAAGCAGGCTGGAAAACTGACTGTTAGGACAGGGTAGAAGAAGCTAAGTGTGGTTCCTCTAAATATTGACAGACTTAAGGAATTTTAGTTCCTCTCTCACTCATCAAATTCAAACCTCCCTTGGCTTACTTTTGATTCCTTTCTTTTGCTATACCAGGCGACTTTATATGAATCACTGTTAACAAGCTCCTGCGTAGGAGTGATGTGCTTCATGTGTGATCAAGTTAAACAGACTCATGCACACTGGAGTCTGATGCAATGGGAAAACATCTGGGGGAATTAGGCCTGACTGGAAATGACATGTGAGCTGAGGAGTGATACAGAGGACTGTGAGTCCCCTCAGTTTCCTCATGGCTGCTCACTGAGTCAGACAGCCACACTCTGACTGAGGTGTGACATCAACAGGGGATTTACATTGCCCATGCCTGGGATAACATAGCACAGAGAAAGAGAAACTGACAACAAGTAAATAGAATGTATCAAGGAGAAACAGAGCCAGAAGTAGATTCATTGAGATAAATGCAAACAAAATGTGTCACGATGCAATGAAAACATGTTTTAGGGAAGTGTTTGATACAATGTGTTTGCAAAGATTAAGCACTTAGTCCTACATATGGAGATACACAATACTGATGTTTAAATTAATACTTGCACTCTCAGGTTTAACTGAGAATAACTGTTGTAATATTTAAAAGGACATTTTTTTCTCCCTATTCTGTTAAATATTAAGTGTTTTTTTGTTGTTTCAGCGCTTCTAAAAATGATTTTCCGTCCAGTATTGATTAATCTACTGACCTTTTTCCCTTCATTAGTTTTTGATTCATTTCTGGGATATTAGGCATCAGAACATTATTTAAAATGACACATTTAAAAGCCAAGTTTGGCATTTTTCTGAAGAATGGCTTGAACAATTAATCAATCATATAAATAATGGCTGACTTTATCGAAAACTAAAGTAATAGTTTCAGTGTCGTACAAATTAAACTTTTCTAACCTAATGTTCATTGTTTCAGTGTATATTAATATCAGAACAGTTTTAATGACTACTTTAATTTTCCTGAATTTAAGATTGGTTAAATGCGTTGTTATGGTAAGGCAAGAGGAGGTTTGACACTGGCTGAAATATGAGAGAAAGTGATACAGACAAACAGACACTCGTGTAAAATCTCACCAGTGCCAGAGGAGAATCCAGGACGGTTGAAGTTGTACTGTTTCACTTCATCATACCAGCGGTCTGTGACATCTTTTCCTGCACGTACATGAAATAAAGTGTAACTTAATGAACAATTCAATCCCTTCTTTGTTGTGCATATTGATCACAATGACAGCTATAGCAGTCTGCACCCTCGAGGAACAAATCTCGCTTGGCACATTTCAATGCTGCACTTTTTGTCACCCAGTGCAGCATTGTAGGAGATGTTTTATGAATCACACAGTCCTGCGCTGACATATTTCTGCAGTGAGTCATGGTGTCTGGGCTCTCAGTGCCAAGTGGAGGGGAAATAGATCCCAGCTGTTCACTCTCAGAGTAGAAAACTCTGCTTTAAGCCCCTTAGACTAAACCATTGTATGTAATGTATGGAGTGATGTGTTTCAGGAGGAGCACACAGAGTATCATGCAGTTTTATCAATAGCATGGTGAGTATTTATGTACTGTATGTACCTGATTGGTCATAGGAAGCCCACGCCAGGTTTTCTCCAAAGTTCCCTTTACTGGACTCTGCACTGTGTTTCAGGATCCGTGTGCTAGCCAGACTTTCAGCATAGCTGTTAACAGAATCAAAAAAAGTTATGAATAGCACTGCTGAAATGGTTTTTTCCTGCAACATAATCCACTCTTGTGTCTGTGAGTAATGCCATATCCTTTAATCTCATCCCTTTTTAAAATTTAAGCTCCTCAGTAGTCTATAGTTTTTAAAGCTCACTGCTGTCCACCTCCCTTCAAGATACACAGTGAAAGATCCTTCTCTCAGATTTTTAATCCAGGGAAAAATTTCAAAGCCTACACTGAAACCAATTCCACTAAACATGGTTTTGGTAATTGGGTTGATATTATTACTGTTCAAAAGCACATATTGGGATTATACTATTACTATTAGTTGCAGAATGACAAAGGAGTCACTTGTAGGTCATATCAAAATGGTTAATGCAGTGACAGTATTGACTATAATTGACAAATTGTAATGTTGTGAAACAAAATTGTTTCTTTATTTTATCATGTGACTGCCATGTGACTTGCCATATGGATGTTCCCCTTCAAAAGAGTTAATGATGATTTTCTGATTAAACACAAGTTCCAGCTCTTTCCATATCGTCTAATTAGCTTTCGAACGTTTTTTTTTTAATTGAGTTCTATTCATTAAACTTTATAATAAAATATAAACTTCATTTCTAAATCTACAGTGTCAATATTGTCTTAACTATCTTCCTGAAAGAGTTGCATCATTTAGGAAGTCCCTTCGCAGAGGCCTGTTTAGTGTTTACACAGAGGGAGAGGTAAAAGCACCATTCATCTCGTGGAAATTAACTGTGCTGCGCTTTAAACTCTACTCAAAACTTAAATATTTACTACCATAGTTATTTTCAATATATACTGTTTTCAGTATAAACTGTATTCAACTGAGGTGTGCAACTGTTGTGCTTGTAATGTCAATGTACATTCCCATTACTCATTTATTATTCAACCTTTGTTTGACCAGATAACTCAGGTGAAATTCAAGAATAAAGATCTGGCCAAAATACCCTATCAGGTGAAATCCCTGATAAAAATCCCAGTTTGTTTACAAAATGTATGTTAACCTTAAAGTTTACACTATCAAGCATGCTCCAGGAAATCCCTCTAATAGATTGCCACTATCTATCCTGACAGCAAACACGTTTACATAATCAACACAATAAACTTTCAACATTATATTGTAATCACACAAAAAATATCCTCAATGTCTTATTATATTAAGTGGTTATTTTATTTGACAGGCTAGGCTGGAACTGTCACTGTTACCCAGAGCAGTCTGACAGTGACAGGTATGCATAGTCCTTGCTAATTAGGTTTCTGATGTGATCTGTGCGTTAACCCACCGGGTGGCTTCTTTGCTCAACTTGCTGCTCAGCTTCAGTGAAGATGCCTGGTGTGTCCTCCTGAACTCATTATGGCACTGCAGCACCTCGTCAGAAAACTGCTTCGAGGCTGATGGACAGGGAGGAGAGAGACAGGAAGGTTAGCCATCCAGAGAGAGAAATCTGACAAAGGAGACGTCATGATGCCTCATGAAGACTCGTGCACGGCTGCAGAATACTCAAGCTGAAATGTTGAGTCACCATCTGAAGACCTATACTGATCTCAGACAGTGAATACAACTCGATGACAGATGATGGAGTATAAAAACGTCATCCATAACCCCCCTTCTGCCTGGTGCCTATCACTCGCTGGCCTTTTCATAAGTCCCACGATCTCTCAAGTGCTCACACAATGGGCACATTGAAACAGCCCCACAAAACAATACAAACACAAATGCTGCCTTACAGCATCTAGTCAGCAAGATGAATGTTACTGCAAGTCAGGATCAGTTAAAGCCATTTTGTATTGCACTGCAAGCATCATTAAAAAGGAAAATAAGTAAGTAATTTATTTAGCAGTTTTGTATTTCCTCTGTCCCATTTTTCAAACCGAGCATAGCTCACAAACACCTATAGTAAACAAGCTAGCCCACACACACAAATTCATGGGGGCAAAGTTCTAACTCAGGCCAAATTTATACAATCAGAGTTCATATCCTCAGCGTGCTGTTTCCACTTACCTGACTTTCCCATGGTGCTGACACAGGAAGCCTTCAGTAAGATCTGCAACAGTCTTAGCACTGAACAAAAGCAGCCTCTCGCCTGTCTTGTTTTCTGTTCCTGCTCTCTTTCTCTGTTGCTTGTTCCCTCTCAGTCTCTTCCTTTAGTGCAGTCAAACACTGATGCCCTGAAACAGATGCATTTATTTCGGGGCCTTTTCGTCAAGTCCTTTCTCATTCCACCTTGAAGTCACGGCAGTTGTGCAAAGTTCCCCTTTAGCTATTTATCTGAGCATACAGATCCTGATGTAACTTCCTTCTCAAATGTTGTTTCACATCATTGAGCTAAACCCGCCTGTCTCTCTTTAAGCCACACACCCTTCTATCTCTATCTGCTGGCCCGACGTCTATCTTTACGGCTCAGAGGAACACACCCACTCATGTCTTTACATTCCCACAAACGAAGGGGGAGCCCCTGCAGACGTTGATGACATCATCTCTGTGAGACATATACCCATATATAGCTCTGAGATTCTCGTTTTCTGTAACTTTGTAACCATGGACAAGAGAATGTTACTCTTAGCAACTGTAACCAGGACAGTGGCTTTCCTGTCATGATGCGAAATTGTGAGGTGCCACTGTAGACAATAATATCAACCTTTGAGACACACAGTTTGATACAGAGATACTCAGCTGGCTTTATCAGATAAAATGAACAATTACTTTGTACCCATAACTTTTTAGGAGACATTCAAGGCTAAACAGGGGCTTGTTTTTAATAAGCTCAACTTGGCACTCAGGCCGCAATTTGAGTGTACGGCTCTTATTTCTGAACTGCTGACTTTCTGAAAAATTCTTTCACTTTTGCTTATGCTCATCATACCTTGAAGGTGCTTTGGTCATAAAAATAGTAGACTTTCCCCTTTCATCTTTCCGTTTCTACAGGAACTTCCAGATCCAACACATTCGATTATTAATGAGGGATCCTTTAATGTCCACCCAGGATGAAAAATAAATGATTGAACAATTTGCCTAGTGCAGTTGACACATAGAGAGAGGCAGAATCACCATTTATCATGCTGCACAACAGGTTTCTACTATTTGCTTTTCCTGTATGAGGTACGCTATGATTCCCTCTTGCTTTAATGGCATTTCCGAACTGGATGGCATCTATCATTGGGGGAAAAAAGACACCTTTAACAAAAGCAGAAATGGTGCGAAGGAGAAAATAAAAATGGATTGCCTCATATTTTAGTGTACCTCATAACACTCCACTTTTTGTACATGGTTACAGCTTGTGGAAATCCATCCATCCATCCATCCATCTTCTCCCGCTTATCCGTGGTCGGGTCGCGGAGGTAGCAGTTCCAGCAGAGAGCCCCAAACTTTCTTTTCCCTGGCCACATCAACCAGCTCTGACTGGGGGATCCCAAGGCGCTCCCAGGCCAGCGAAGAGATATAATCCCTCCATCTGGTTCTAGGTCTACCCCTTGGTCTCTTCCCAGCTGGACGTGCCTGGAACACCTCCCTAGGGAGGCGCCCAGGTGGCATCCTAACTAGGTGCCCGAACCACCTCAACTGGCTCCTTTCGACGCGAAGGAGGAGCGGCTCAACTCCGAGTCCCTCCCTGATGACCGAACTTCTCACCTTATCCCTAAGGGAGACACCAGCCACCCTGCGGAGAAAACCCATCTCGGCCGCTTGTACCCGCGATCTCGTTCTTTCGGTCATGACCCATCCTTCATGACCATAGGTGAGGGTAGGAACGAAAATGGCGCGGTAGACAGAGAGCTTTGCCTTCTGGCTCAGCTCCCTTTTCGTCACAACGGTGCGGTAAAGAGACTGCAGTACCGCTCCCGCTGCTCCGATTCTCCGACCCATCTCACGCTCCATTGTTCCCTCACTCGAGAACAAGACCCCGAGATACTTGAACTCCTTCACTTGGGGTAAGGACTCATTCCCTACTTGGAGTGGACAGTCC